CGAGTTTGGCACAGGGTTGCACGTTCATTATGGTTTTCATGGCTATTGCCAACACGAAATGAGAATTTCAGATGTACATAACGCGCAAAATTTAAAATTTTTGTATATGACAACACCGAATTTGCTGCAGTTTGACCAAACAAAATTAGTTTGCTGTGAGAGTCGCCAAACTCGCTCTCTCCGAGTTTGCTGCAACAACAATTGCACGCAGTTTGCCAAACGAAATTTCTGCATAACACCGACCAAACAATTGCATAAAGAGAAGCAAGCCAAGCCAAGTGGAAGCGATCAGCGATTGTGAAAGATATTCATGCTCACTGGTACACAACCAAGCCAAGCAATTGTGAGAGAGTAATATTTTTTAGTGAGAGCAAGTTTGAGTGAACAATAGGGTGATTCATGAGCTTGGGAGTTTATTCATAAGCTGAGCTATTCACTGCCGAACTCTGATTCAAACTTTTTCTATCCCGTCAGGATTTTTAAATATCCCTAACTAAAAGGCCGATTTAGGCTTATTTTCGAGGTTACGTAGCATTTTATTTATTTCTTTTCGCCGAGTTTTTGAAAGGTTAAATATTTATGGCCAGTTTTAAGTTGCTAAATATTTATATAAATATGTATACCTACCCAGTTTACACTTTTACGGTTTCCTAAGTCACAGTGCGGAAAAGTATGATTTTCTTTAATTTCGAGTTTCCCTACAGGGTACTCGTTGAATAAAATATTCATCTACAAAGCGACTGCCTGCCTTCGCACATTATGGCGAATTTCATATTTACTGATATGGGAGCCAATGCATGCATGCGCTGTATTTGTATTAGGGTGGGATGGGGTGCTTAAAATTAAGCCAGACAAAATGTACTTTCTTTTTCTCGTGAGCTTAAAGCGGCCGCTGTGGTGTAGTGGTTAAAAGTGTGTACTACTATTCTACAGGACCTGGGATCAAGCCCCGTTTCCGACTAACATTAAAAACAAAACAAAAGACAAAGATTTTTGTAATAGCGGTTGCCCCTCTGTAGGTAATGCCAATCTACGAGTGTATTTCTGGCATGGAAAACAGATTCTCACAAAAATATAATCGCCTTTCGGAGTCGGCCCAAAACGTTAACTTTGTGTGATAACATCAAGATGTAAATATTCCTTAATCCGCAAACAACACCCAATTAAAAACAAAACGGTTATATTCGGAGTCAGAGGCCTATATGTAGATCAGTGAATACTCAAGGGTAACCCTAAAATAAAGGGCTGCTGTTTGAAAGGTGTTATCCGATTAAAGCTAGACGGAAATATCGCTTCGCCCTAATGTATATGTAAGGTTTTTTAATTTGATATTTGGTATTTGATCAGAAAATTTGAACATATTAGAGTTGTTACTTTTAATAATAACTAGCCTTCAAATTTTTAATTACTTGAACATATTTATATATATAATTTATTAAATTTTTTTTATTTAATACTGCATATATTTTGCAAAATACGTTCATTACAAATAACAAAAAGCGTAGCGTATTCGCACTATAATTAGTAATGCTCCTTAGATCTGTTGTATTACTTTCAGTTCTTTGTTGGCTGGCAGCCTGATGAACTGGTCATAATTGAACTATTTTACTTAGTTTATACTAACTTTTGTATCAAAGCCATGCAAAAGCGTTATAATTATTGTTATGATAATATTTTATTTTGGAATGCAATTGCATTTTTGATTTATTCTGAACATGGTGAGAAGAGACATTAGCGCTATCCGACCACACATTGTTTTGCAGTTGAATACTTCAAATTTTCTGTGAAGGCGGTGTCAAACGTACATAAATATCAGATTTTCGAATGTAATTCTCGTTTTTTTATTTCATCTAATATGTAGTGTCAAAGTCAAACTTAAATCAAGTACACTGAGCCAAAAGTGCAATGGCTTTTCAACCGAGTTATTGTAAAAAACTTGATTCAAGCATATCACAGCGTACGGCAGTGCGCGCGAGTGACGAAAGCAGCCACAGTAGCATGCTGAAATGACTCGCTTATCACAGCGCACGGCAGTGCGCGTGAGTGACGAAAGCAGCCACATATGTATACATATACACGAGATTTGGAAGTTTTTATCCAGAAGTCCAATCGACATGTTTGATATATCGTTGGAAAGCTCTTGCAGAGTGTGTCCAGAAAATGTATCCAAGCTTCATAAACGATTAACCGGATTCTTAAAAATTAGGCTAAAGTGCTGCGAAACAAAAAACATCTGTTTGCTTTTGCCGGTTTAAGTTGGCATGTGGGTACCCACCCAACATATTTTGTGTTATTCTATGGGCCAATACGAACCATACCTTTTATTTTGAGTTCCGGCTATTAGTTGGAAAGATATAGAGCTAAATGTGCTTTGGTTCGTGTCTCCACTACGAGATGCTTTGGTATGTATGTGGCGTCTGTACGTACCTTCGTTTAATTTTTTTCAAACTTTCAGGAATTAGAGTACAATAAAAACTAAAGAGGGTTTGTTCCAGGATGTTTTTATTCGTATGCCTGTGTGGGCATGGCTGCTGCCTGAAATTAGAAAAAAGGCAATTTTATAAACTACCCCTGAGGCCGCACTACTCAATCCATGCCATTGATGTGGATATCAGTAGAAGGGTCTTCAAACGAGCTATCTAACGCTATCTTTTGTGCTTATGAAATATAAATATGTCATAACGTTATCGCCTGAAAACTAAAAATCGGGCTGCTGAAAATATACATTTCGGGAATTTTCTCAAAAACTGGTCAGTCCATTTTATTCTAAGTTTCCACAGGTCTAGTCCAAAATCTTAACTTTCATCTGGCATATAGCTTATATCTGGGAAAACTCTTGTTGTGGAGATAGTGCTATTCAAAGTGAAAAAATGTCGCTCCAAAAAGGGTCAAATGGTTACAAATTAACATATCCATCTAATTTGGTTACTTGAAGATATAAAAATAACACACCCAGTTCCCCGAAAAAAATCGCCCATTCCCAGATTGCCAATTAAACCAAAATTCCATGCAAATCGGGGAATTTCCCGCGAGTTGGCAAGTTGAAGGTTGCAGCTGTGCTAATCACTTCGTACATGTCTTGGAAACCACAATTTGTGTGTATTTTAGAGTTTTTTTTAGTCACATGCCGAAATTGTAACATTTTTCCCATTTTAATTGCAGGTATGTACACAGTATTTAACTACGCTACATGGGTTTATCACCCGCACTTAACCTACCTGGTATTTACCTATAGTTGTACATAAATATGTATGTATGAATGCATTTAGTTCACCCAATGTGCCGTTACTACTTACATACATATGTATAAATTGCTACTGAGCAAAAGTACTTGGGAAAAAAGCATTAGCTTAATGGCACGAGAGCAACACGTGATAGAAGTAAAACTTCTTAAAAAAGCACATGTGTGCGCCCCACACCCGGTAGAAAACTTAACAAAAATTAAACTACGAGGCAATCAGACGAATACAGTTGTTTATTGTATTCAAAGTTAGTACCAAGTTGATAAGTTTTTATCATTTCTCATAATTTTTGTTTTTAATTTTTTCGAATACAAATGATATGAATCATTCTTTTTCGCTTTATTCCGTATTCGAAAAACTATGTGTTTCAATGGACACATCGATTTGAATACATTATTTGGATTTAGAGAATATTTTTAGCAATTTATTTGAGAAAAATAAAACATTTAGTTTATTGTTTGTATTTTCGTCGATTTTAAATTTGCTACCCCAAAATAATTGATATCAAATAAAACACCTCTTTGACGTACAATTTTCGAGTGACGAAAGCTGGGGTCGAATCGTGACAGACGTGAACGAGTCGGCAATCGTGCGAACACAAATTACGTGATCGTTTAATCGAATGAACCATATCGGATGATAACAATCGAAGGCGAACGAATCGTTATTGTTTATTTGGTTATCGATTATTTTTCTCTTCTTCTTCCTTTTTTAAGTCACAATAGACATTGAAGTGTCAAAATAAGTGAAAAGTAAATAAAGAAAAGCGGCAAAACTAAAATGGATCCGAGCCTTTTATTTTATTTAAGCTCTAGCGAAAGCGAGTTGTGCGTAAGCAACTTCGGGGCAGAAGCAATCCATTGGCATTATCCGACAACGCGTAAGTAATTATACATAGGAAATAAATTACCTTCTCTACTCCTATAATTGCAGATTCATCAAAAGATTTCGGTTAAGCGAGGAGGCATTCCAGAATGTTTTATCGAAAACAAACATAAACTGCGATGACACAAAAGCCATCCCTGCTGCTTTGCAATTGGCTGCAAGCCTCTCGCTCCTTGCAAGTGGTAACTATCAGCACACAGTTGGTAGCGATTACCTGATAGGTATGTGCCAGAGCACGGTATCAAAATTGACGTCCAACGTCTTAAAAGAAATGGAAAGCAAATTGTGTCCGGAATTTATAAAGTTCCAGCCCAACGAATCTTCAAGATGTAAGGAGTGGTTTCCGGAAAAATATAAAATACCTGGAGGTAGGAAGAGGAGTTCTAATGAAATGCGTAGTGACTCCAATGTTTTTCCTTTTAGTGGTTGGATGCGTAGACGGAACACACATTGGATTACAAAAGCCAATTAGAGACGAGCACATGTACTTCAACAGGAAAGGTTACCATAGTCTTAACGTTATGCTAGTAAGTTTCTTTTCTTTCATTTTAACATTTTATTGCTAATATTCCGTTTGCCAGATTTGTGACAACATTTGCAAGATTCTTGCCATAAATTGTCAATATGGAGGTGCAGCCCATGACTCCTGAAAAGGTCCACCACATGTAATTGTTTGGTGAGGTTTTCCCACAAACGGTTGGCCGTTGCTTTTCCCTGCGAGCAGTTTGGGAGTAAATTCTTTNACAACATTTGCAAGATTCTTGCCATAAATTGTCAATATGGAGGTGCAGCCCATGACTCCTGAAAAGGTCCACCACATGTAATTGTTTGGTGAGGTTTTCCCACAAACGGTTGGCCGTTGATTTTCCCTGCGAACAGTTTGGGAGTAAATTCTTTGCCAAGTCAGGGTGTTCGGCCATGAACTCCGCCATGAGTTCTTTCTGCGTAGAGTTTAATTTATTTTAGTTGGTCCTAAAATAAGAAAAATAGCTATAAACTTGTATATGTTTGCANATTTTCCCTGCGAACAGTTTGGGAGTAAATTCTTTGCCAAGTCAGGGTGTTCGGCCATGAACTCCGCCATGAGTTCCTTCTGCGTAGAGTTTAATTTATTGTAGTTGGTCCTAAAATAAGAAAAATAGCTATAAACTTGTATATGTTTGCACAAATTTTATAATTACTTACATTTTTAAAAAAAATTTATCAAATTTTGCGCGCGTACGTTCGTCAAATATTAATCGAATGACAGTTCGAACGAGCGAGTACGTTCACTCGCTCGTTCACGCCTGTCATAATACCGAATTACGATATGAGAAGTTCGTTCACGTCTGTCACAATCCGATTTTGTCATTTTTACGTGACAAGTTGCTCGTTCACAACTGTTACGATTCGAGCCCTGAACTAGAAACACAAAATTTATGATATCAATTTCGTGACGAAAGTTATACGCATTTTTTAACTGCCTTTCAAACGTACGGAAAATCTTTTTTTATTTATTCGGAAGGTGCGAATTTCCGTTTACTGCTAAAAACACAATTAAAAAAAAAAACAGAACTTTTGCAACGATTCGTATGAATAAAAACGATTTTCCCTACGTTTGAAAGGCAGTTAAAAAATGCGTATAATTTTCATCACGAAATTGATATCATAAATTTTGTGTTTCTAGTTCAGCTTTCGCCACTCGAAAATTTTACCTCAAAGAGGTGTTTTATTTGATTTTTACATACACGATGAGGCGTAAGCTTATCTACTTGTATGTAAAAAAATTACCTCAAGAGAATTTCTATATAAAAATTCAAGGAACTGCCTTATGTGAGAAAAGTCATTGTATTTAAGAATTTTTAATGTATATTGAATTGATAAGAATTTTCAATAAGTTTTATGGACTTCGGTTAAAAAATAGGCTAAAAGAATTATTACTAATTTTTTTTTGTTTGGTGGAATGCAATATTTTTTTCAAGGGATATACATTGGATCCTTGGTAAAGTTATCCACGGACGTAAAAACGGAGAACGTGTCGGCTGACACGATTGATCTGATGACATGATCACATGACCGTGACGTTGACGTTGCTTCTGTCTCTCTTTGATATGTTTCTACGCGACGCTACGTGAGCGCGGCTACCCACGAACATCAAAGTCACGGTATTGCGGTGGCAGGGATGCGTGATTTCAAATCCTTTTTTATAAATCTGCTATCAATTAAGAAATATGTATATTTGATTTGTGGTTTGGTTTGTTGACCAAATAAAAAAATTAAATTATTTGTGATTTGAATTTCTAATCAAAGAAATAAGAAATCAAATTTGTGAATTTTATTTGTGATTTGTACAATCATGAAGAGATTTTATTTTAATTTTGGTTCAAACTAACTCAAAATATACTAAAATATAATATGCGAAGTCTAAATTCGTAATTGGTAAAAAGATGAAAAATATAAAAAAACAAAAAATGGAATAAACAAAAAGAAATAAAAACGTGAAGCCTGAAATCGTAGTAAATAAAAAATACAAATATATTGAAAAACAAAAGTAAACAAAAGTAAAGTAAAAGGCGAAGTCTAAGCTCGTACTTCGTACAAAATACAAAATAAAAAAAAAAATAAAAAAAATGCAAAGTAAAAAAATAGAACAGTGAAGTCTACATTCGAGATTGGTAGAAAAACGATAAATATACATAGACAAAAAAAAATTAAAAAATACCAAAAAATTAAAAAGGTGAAATCTAAATTCATAGTTTAACCTCCTCCTGGTGGTCTTCGGAAACTACATTTTATGTACGCTAACTACATGCGTATTTTTTATGCCGGCCGTATCGGAGTTGCCATTTCGAATTGTTGAAACCAAACTTGAAATTCGTGACCAGTAAGCACAAAAATCATTGAGTAACAAGTTTCAAGCCAAACCGATTACTTTTCACAATATTGTTCGCCATATTGGATCCGACATTTAGAGTTTTTAAAAGCTAACTTCAGATTCGTAATCACCGACTCCAAAACCTCCTGTAGAAATTTTTAAGCACTAAGGTGTCGAATATTGTCCACTTTTTATCGTACTCTGGTTCTCATAGTGCACAGCAGAAAACACAAAAAGGTCGTACAGAGAGATTTGGCACAGTGAAAATTACATTTTGCTTGAGAGATCTGTTTGTGTCAGAGAGAAACGCAATAACAATAAGTGGAAAGGATTATTTTCGATTGCTGAATGTAGGTAGATACTGACTTATAATAAAGAGCATTGCTGTCGAGTGACCATATATGTATTGTACATATCGATGGCCACAAACAGAACGTTATCTCAGCATCAATTTATCCCATCTTGAGCACCGTGCGTTGAACTAGCTTAATTTAATAATATCTCAACCAAGCATAATTGATTCATATTAACTAAATATATCAGGCACTGTCAGACAAACTATCCTAACTCATACGTGCCTATTCAATTTGCTTTAAGTTAAGCTGTTAAGTTATATCTAGAATCCACGGTGTTCAAGATTAGTATGAATTGATGGCTATCGACCAGTTTAGATAAAGTAGTTCGATATGTACATAACTACATACAGAGTTATATTTGGAATAACTTTAATATAAATTTGTAAAGTATTCGTCCCTATTAAGGTGACAATGGCTGTATGTGGACCAGAGCTGTAAAATGATTGAATCAATAGGATCAGCATTCACTCGACATTCTTTTCAAAATTTTGATTGTTTGTTTGTATAAAAAAAGCCTCATTCCTGAGTGGCTTAAAATGCTTGAAAACAAATAAACTGTGTTGTGTTTTTGAATGGTAGATTGACATTCAGTATGGAATGTGAATGTAACAGAAGCATTCGCACACACACATGATTGTATATTTAAAATGAATGCACACGTTTTTACCATTCAGTACTAATACTTTTTTCCCAGGGTTGATATATTTTATACTTTAAAGTTTAAACATATCTGGAATTGAAAAAAAACATATATGTATACGTATGTATGTATTTCAACGCGTATGTATAGACGTTTTCTGACATTAACCCATGGCTAATGACTGG